TTTAATGAGGCTCTTTTATTTTGCATTAACCTAGAATTGCTCCAAGTGAAGACACGACCGGCTCCTCTGTGTGAAAGCGCCTGTGTTATGTGTGACTGTGAAAAAAGCCACCGCTCTTTTCCCTGTTTAATCCCTCTAATAAATCTGCCACTGACACACATGGGAACATGGAGCAGCCCACCTCCTCACTGGTGTCCCACCCTTCGGGGGGTGCATTCACTCGGACCCTGTCTGCCAAGCATTATGCAATCACTAATGGACTCTGCAGAAGGCGGCCCATCGCGGGCGGCGGGGCGGGGGTGCTGCTGCCCTGAAAGCCCACCACAGCAAGCACAACCGCTCGACGCGCGTTAATGTGTTAGTTTTTACCTCGAATCCATCTGGTGCTCGACCCGCATGAACTCCGTTTTGCTCCCTCTGCACGCAGGCACCTCACACCCACAAGTGACTACAACACATGTACACAGCTCATCTGCCTCTTCTCTCTCATTCTGCCGCCTCTCCGTCTCGCGGCTCCGGCGCCGGCTCTCATCTCGATTCTCTCCTCGGCTCGCCACATCTCCCCTCTCGTGCCCGATCCTTCATCTCTCACGTCCTGCACTCTCCCTCTGCTCTTCCCCGGTCTCTCTCCCATCTCTCTCTCTCTGCGTGGTCGAAGATCTGCCTGTCATTGCCGACGGGTCGTTGCATAGGCTGGACAGCCTGGCCATTAGATTCTCCCGCTCTGCAGCATGAAGGAATCAAGGAAAGGACTTTTGTTATTTTGCTTCCCCCCTTCTTTCTCTCCCTTAAAAGATTAGCTGCCTCGCGCGGCTGAATGTTGCTACAATCCGCAGGACTTAGTCGTCTGAAGGAGCTCGCTCTCCTCTTCCTCTTCCGTTTATCCCACACTCTCTCTCTCCTCTCGTCTCTCTTCCTCAGGGCACCCCGCTCGTCTCCTCTCTCTCTCTCTCGTTGCCGGTTGAAGAGCCTCCTCACCGCTTTCTGGCAAGCCGGCCTGTGCATCGACCAGTAAAACTCACAAATATCCAAACCTCCTGTTGCCGCACTGTGCGTAGTGCGTGCGCTGTGCCGGCTTGTGCACCCCATGCCCCATATTTTTTCAACGTCGTCGCCCTCAGGTCTGTCGTGTGTGTCGTGCGTTATATAATCCGTTTACAGCCACATTTTAAAATTACAGTCGTCATCCCAGCCACGCCTAGGCCGATCCAGGGAGTAAACCACAATTAGGAGATGCGGCCCGCGCAGAAGCCGGCCGCCAGCGAGAGCAGCTGGTAGGGTTGGGCCACCACGCCACCTG